TATAGGGCAAAGGGTTCTGGAATTATTCATATGTACTATTATTCTTCTCTTGGCACTAACATGCTGGAAATTCACGCCCGCACCCCTATTTTGCCTTCCCGCACCCCTGTCTTCTCTTGGCACTAACATGCTGCAAATTCACGCCCCCTCCCCCGAGTGACGAAGAAAATGCATAGAGCGACTCTTCATAAATATACCCAAGAAATGTCATGATTATAGGGTAAAGGGTTATGGAATTATGGCTATTTAATTATTCATATGTACGAATGATTATTCTTCTCTTGGCACTTACATGCTGCAAATTCACGCCCGCACCCCTATTTTGCCTTCCCGCACCCCTTTCTTCTCTTGGCACTAACATGCTGCAAATTCACGCCCCCTCCCCAAGTGACGAAGAAAATGCATAGAGCGACTCTTCATAAATATACCCAAGAAATTTCATGATTATAGGGTAAAGGGTTATGGAATTATGGCGAATTAATTATTCATATGTACGAATGATTATTCTTCTCTTGGCACTAACATGCTGCAAATTCACGCCCGCACCCCTATTTTGCCTTCCCGCACCCTTTCTTCTCTTGGCACTAACATGCTGCAAATTCACGCCCCCTCCCCCGAGTGACGAAGAAAATGCGTAGAGCAACTCTTCATAAATATACCCAAGAAATTTCATGATTATAGGGCAAAGGGTTCTGGAATTATGGCTAATTAATTATTCATATGTACGAATGATTATTCTTCTCTTGGCACTAACATGCTGCAAATTCACGCCCGCACCCCTATTTTGCCTTCCCGCACCCCTTTCTTCTCTTGGCACTAACATGCTGCAAATTCACGCCCCCTCCCCCGAGTGACGAAGAAAATGCGTAGAGCAACTCTTCATAAATATACCCAAGAAATTTCATAATTATAGGGCAAAGGGTTCTGGAATTATGGATAATTAATTATTCATATGTACGAATGATTATTCTTCTCTTGGCACTAACATGCTGCAAATTCACGCCCGCACCCCTATTTTGCCTTCCCGCACCCCTTTCTTCTCTTGGCACTAACATGCTGCAAATTCACGCCCCCTCCCCCAAGTGACGAAGAAAATGCATAGAGCGACTCTTCATAAATATACCCAAGAAATTTCATGATTATAGGGTAAAGGGTTATGGAATTATGGCGAATTAATTATTCATATGTACGAATGATTATTCTTCTCTTGGCACTAACATGCTGCAAATTCACGCCCGCACCCCTATTTTGCCTTCCCGCACCCCTTTCTTCTCTTGGCACTAACATGCTGCAAATTCACGCCCCCTCCCCCGAGTGACGAAGAAAATGCGTAGAGCAACTCTTCATAAATATACCCAAGAAATTTCATGATTATAGGGCAAAGGGTTCTGGAATTATGGCTAATTAATTATTCATATGTACGAATGATTATTCTTCTCTTGGCACTAACATGCTGCAAATTCACGCCCGCACCCCTATTTTGCCTTCCCGCACCCCTTTCTTCTCTTGGCACTAACATGCTGCAAATTCACGCCCCCTCCCCCCCCCCCGAGTGACGAAGAAAATGCATAGAGCAACTCTTCATAAATATACCCAAGAAATTTCATGATTATAGGGCAAAGGGTTCTGGAATTATGGCTAATTAATTATTCATATGTACGAATGATTATTCTTCTCTTGGCACTAACATGCTGGAAATTCACGCCCGCACCCCTATTTTGCCTTCCCGCACCCCTTTCTTCTCTTGGCACTAACATGCTGCAAATTCACGCCCCCTCCCCCCCCCCCCCCGAGTGACGAAGAAGATGCATAGAGCAACTCTTCATAAATATACCCAAGAAATTTCATGATTATAGCACAAATGGTTCTGGAATTATGGCTAATTAATTATTCATATGTACGAATGGTTATTCTTCTCTTGGCACTAACATGCTGCAAATTCACGCCCGCACCCCTATTTGCCTTCCCGCACCCCTTTCCTCTCTTGACACTAACATGCTGCAAATTCACGCCCCCTCCCCGAGTGATGAAGAAAATGCATAGAGCAACTCTTCATAAATATACCCAAGAAATTTCATGATTATAGGACAAAGGGTTCTGGAATTATGGCTAATTAATTATTCATATGTACTATTATTCTTCTCTTGGCACTAACATGCTGCAAATTCACGCCCCCTCCCCCGAGTGACGAAGGAAATGCATAGAGCAACTCTTCATAAATATACCCAAGAAATTTCATGATTATAGGGCAAAGGGTTCTGGAATTATGGCTAATTAATTATTCATATGTACGAATGATTATTCTTCTCTTGGCACTAACATGCTGGAAATTCACGCCCGCACCCCTATTTTGCCTTCCCGCACCCCTTTCTTCTCTTGGCACTAACATGCTGCAAATTCACGCCCCCTCCCCCCCCCCCCCCGAGTGACGAAGAAGATGCATAGAGCAACTCTTCATAAATATACCGAAGAAATTTCATGATTATAGCACAAAGGGTTCTGGAATTATGGCTAATTAATTATTCATATGTACGAATGGTTATTCTGGTTTGCGTACGCTGCGTATATGGGAAAATTCGCATGGCGCCGGAAAATTTTTCGCTGCGCAACAACCCCTGGTTTGATTTTTATATTTTTTTGTTGTCAAAAGATGCGCAAGGCTCGAGGCTAAAAAGTCATAACAGCTCAGGTTGCGAAAAATTTTTTTAAAGGCTATCGCGGAAAAAGTCGAGGGGGTGGCGAATTCCGCCCACGGCTCTTTTAGGGTAAAAAAAAAACCACATTTTTGATTTCTCCTTCGTTACATCAAAAGTAAAAAACTACGCTGGGTTAGGTTTATCCGTCGCCAAAATGAGGGGGACGTGAGGGAACACGTATCTGCCCCGCCCCGGAAATCAGTATCAACATTTCTAAAATTATATCATGAAAGTGTGCTCCGTGGAATATGGTGGCGCAAAGGAACTGCTTTTGGTGGAGGGGGGGGGGGCATGTACAGCTTACATGTTTAATTGTTTGCAATTGCTTTTTTCATTAAATGTATGTATTAATTCATGTTATAGGGGATTCCTACTCGACAAGCTCTGCTTTTTGGAAATACCCTTCCTTCATCTCTAATTTAAAAATAATGCGCTCAAAGTCTATAAATATATTTCTTAAAACCAGTACCCTATCAATTCCTTAATATATTACATAGTGGTGTTTCCTAACTTGGCACACTTCGACGTTTACCTTGACTTTCCTCATGTAGTGTTGCCAAACTTATTTGTTGATAAACTTCAAATTCAGTCCGTGAAATACTGGTACTTACACCTTATTACTGCAGCGGTTTATACCTCTGTAAACTATTTCGGTGTCATGAGATTATATTCCGAAATTCAAAAACGGTGGCATCCGGAAATTGGGCACACAAACGGCTGAATGTTTCCTAACGTGGCGCACTTGAATAAATATCGGAAAATTCCATTAAAGAATTCTGTAAAGTTGATAAAATCTGATAAACCATTATTATATACCCAACTAAAAGTTTGTCAGAAAATTATTTCCTCATTTTGGGGGGATATTTTCAAAGGGTTTACCCACGCACTTTGCAATAAAATAGGAAAATCATGTCGAAATAATGTTTTGTTGTAACTTTGTAACAGGAATCGGATTAACTCGTGATTTAGGAACGGGAGTGTTTAGAACTCGATGAAATTATACCGGTTTTTGTGAAAAGTTCAGTACAAAACTGTTGCTCTAGATATAGCGCGACAGACGAACAAGCAAAGTACACCACCTCAGTGGCGGCGCCATGCTATGTTACATCATACATCAACAAATATCTATTTATGCCTTGAATATGGGATTTAATGGTAATACCACCAGTCCAGTTAAAATGCATAGAACAACAATTGATTGTTTGTTGGTTTATAAAACAGGTTTGACAAAAATTAATGATCAGTAATAACAGATTAATTAAAATAATCACGGCCGGACCATTTGGAATAACCATAGAGCAAGGAATATGAAAACATTAAATCTTTTACAGTTTTTAGCTTGTGTAAGCATGGAGGTGTTCGATCCTTCCTCCATGGTGTAAGTAATCTCGCCGTCGGTTGAATATTCTCTCCCAGAACTTGTCTGCACGGTTGACATGCATGTATTACAACTCCAGTAGTCTTTCTCAGTGGGCGCTACATTTCAGCATATTCTCGTTTAGATTATCGTTTTCCAAGTTGTATTTTTCTATTCCTTCCTCCATGGTACAACTATAGGTCCTTGCTATACAACCATGTCCAAGTATTATTATAGTGCATGCAGCAAACCTTAATGTCTGGAAATAGAAGCAATTAATATAAGGTTTCAACTGTACAAAGTGTACGTTACATTAACATATTAAGATAGCATGCACATGCATGGCCTTGTGCAGGGCCAGGGCCCTGACCACAGTTTCCCCACATACACTTTGTTACGCAACGTTAAGTAAATCTCACTGATAGCTGAGCTAGGCAAGGTCACTGGGCCGATGACCACCAGTGATTGTATGTTCTCTCATTGGTTGTATCTGTCAGTGCACAAACCATCGGCGCTGTTGTCTTATTGGCTCATTCTGCTTTGTACACGAACCATCGGTACCGATGGTTCGTGTACATTCAATTAAATGTCACTTCTATCGAGAGTGTCCGAGTAATGGGATTCATCAATTCAAAGTTTTCCAATTCTTAAAAGAAACATGTAATTTTCTTCACTAATAAGAATTTGAAATTATAGACCAACCTAAAAAAAAAAACTAAAAAAAAAAGTAGGACCTATATGCATGTGTTATTTTACTGTCATGGACAGAAAGATTTTTAGGTGGGAGGGGGTACAATAATGTTGTCTCAAGTCTTAATAAAGTACTGAAACGCAAACTTAAAATTCATCGCTACGTTTTTATCATTTGCACATTTTTGCCTGTAAATATTTAAAGGTTTTTTTTGCACAACATTCAAGGTTTCATTCAACCTTCTTTTCCCTGAAAGGTTTACGCGACAATGAGGAATTTGGAGGCAAAGTCCAACCTGGAAAAAGAAGCAGGGAGCACCTTGAACAAGACACTCTTCATCCGGGAACTTGATGTGACCAAGGACCCAACTATCAAATCGGTGGTAGACGAGATTCTGCGAGACAACGGGAGAATCGACGTTCTCGGTGAGCTAACTTTCGTTCATGAAGACATGGATGATAACCAATCGCCTATAAGATCATGGCTGCGATGTTGAGTGAATCCTGACCGGCAATCAAGTTCCCTGGGTTGAATGTAAAAGTAAATTACATTGATTTTCCAACTAAACTGAGCAGAGTTGAAACGAGTCATTGAATGTTGTGACTCGAGTCGAGTCGAGTCATTTAAAGGAAGAGACTCGAGTCGAGTCGAGTCAAGTCCCTATGTCAAAAAGGTCGGGTCGAGTCGAGTCAAGTCAAGTCGAGTCACAGTGTGTGGTAGAGTCGAGTCGAGTCAAGTCAAATTTATGCACCATCTAGTCAATTATGAAAGAAGGAACACAAGGTTATTATGAAGATCCAAAACTTAAAATATGTTGCATGGTACCCAATAGACAGCTTCTGCTGGACGTTTCTACCAAACATCGACGTAACACTTAACAAGAAGCGAATCTTCGGTTTCATCTCTGGTTTGGCCTCTGGTCTCTTGGCCTGCGGAATAATTTTTACGCTGACGTCATCAAAACTAAATTGCAACAACTACGATGGTGTTTTTGATTTTATAGAAATATGTCTATTTTTTTAAGTTATGAGAACGTAAATTTAGCAGGAGTTTATTAAAGGGCTGAAGAAATCGCCCGAAACCAATGATGAAACCAAGAATTGCGAAATGCATTTAAAGTCTGGTGCCGGGATAGTAGTTTGTGTGCTACATTATAAAACCACGAGGTTTGAGTCCGTGATATGCCAGATATGGCGTTTATTTTGTACGCGATTAGCGGCCACAACTTGACAGTAACGCCAAGTACGCGAACTTAAATAATTTTTTTTACCGTAAGTATAAGTCACTGCAAATATATGATTGCGTAGTCCTGGGACTCCAGAGTTATTGGCCTTCAACTGGAGTCGAGTCGAATCTTCCGATGGCGGACTCGAGTTGAGTCGAGTCAGTTGCCGCAGTCGAGTCATTACAACTCTGAAACTGAGTAGCAAAAATTTGATTACACTTTTATGTTTGGACATAAGATTCAAACGTACGTCCATCAATTGATATTGCTATCCTGAATTTGCTGCCAGGGTTGATCGTCCGTCGTCCACCATTTTGGCATTGGGACGAGTCACTTATCTATAGTCTGTTTTTCTCTTAAACCTTTCGTGTTAGTGCTAAAGGGGAAATACAATAGTAACATATTCGTTAGACTTATAACCGCTTATGGCATGTTAAAGAAAATGATTTTCTATTAGATCCAAGTCTTAACTTGTGTTCCAACTATCCTTAAACTTTAATTCAGTGAACAACGCTGGCTACATGGCCTTAGAGGGCATCAACGAGCGGTCAGTAGAATGGTGCCAAGCTATGATGGATACCAACTACTGGGGGGTAGTAAGAACAACAAATGCCGTGTTACCAGCGATGAAGAAGCAGATGTCGGGCCGGATCATTAACGTTTCTAGTATAGCCGGCGTCCGAGGTAAAAGCTAATATCACATCGGGGCAACTTTGCTATTGATAGATCAGTTTAAGTTAGACAGTCTGCCATAATCTCGTCAGTGATCTTATTCAATCAATTATAGATGTACTATACCTGCGCTTTTTAAAATTGTTAGCAATTTAAAAGTAATTCCTTTTTGCATGTGGCATCGATCGAAAACAAAATTGACCCGATTTTAGTCTATATAAGTATTTCGCAATGTTTTAATTATTTGTTCACTGAGTAGACTGATCCTTCTTTTCATAGTAATTACTTTCGGAACCGGGAACCATCTACGAGGAGTGTGGATCTGTTTTTGCGCAAAACCAACCAAAAATGAACGTCTTTTTTTTGCAGTTGCCCTAAGTGGAATTTTGCAATCTTTCGGTACACATTTTTAATTTTAAGGAAGAACTGTTGAACAGACGTATTACCTCTTCAATATTTTTTGTTGTAAGCCTATGTAGGCCTATAGTTCTCCACATGATAGGCTACTATATATTTTTGTTACATTGTGTTCTATAAAAACAAATATGTCTCGTGAAATTGCTTCTATTTGCTTAAATGAAAGTGTGGACCAGACGATTGAAAGGGAATAGTTACTCAGTTAGATTGAAAGAAGATGCAACGAAGTTGGGAGAAAAGTCAAGATGCATAACGTCTCGTCTCTTCTTTTCTTCTGAATTTCACTCATTGGAAATACGCTAAAAAAGTCCCTGGTCACACATTGACCCGGAATTCGGGTTCTATTTCGCCTAACCCTTTTCCGGGTCAACATTTTTCCCGGTTCAGGATGGCACTTTTCCGGGTAAAAATGGCAATTTTCCGGGTCAAAATGGCACTGGGTTCCTGGTCTAAATAGCACTGTTCCGGTTCCAAATGGCACTTTTCCGGGTCAAAATTACACTTTTCCGGGTTATTGTGACCCGGACATTGTGGCCAAAAAATAGATCATTCCGGGACTTTAGAGTGTACTGCTAGATAGACGGCAGCATTCTTGTGAAGTTAAGAATTGGACAATATAGGTTGATGTTATGCTGTTGATAGTTCTTGCAATTGAACAACAAAACAAATCTCCTTTAATGTTTTTTTTTCAGCTGATCCTTTTTTTGCTACCTACTCTGCTTCTAAGTTCGCTATGGAAGGATACTCCGAGTCCATTGCCCCAGTGTTGAGAGATGGATACAATATCAAGTACGGAAGCTCTTCTTATTTGAGGGGGAAAAATAATAAAGATACTCCACATCGACCAAAGAATAAAAAAGCCTACTCCGAACTTTTATTGTGTTCACATCAAAGTGTAAAAAGGAACAAGCCAAGGGCGGATACCAATGATGGGTGATTGGAGTGGCTAACTGAACCCCCCCCCCCTCTCCTCCGACTAACCAATATAAATAATTTACATAATGGAGAACATAATCCCTTACTTCATTAAGCTCCTTGAAAGAAATTCATCACCCACAAATCCGTAGACATTGGTCCATTTTACGTGTTGACTGCAATTCCCGATCCATCTTCTTGATAAAAACTTGTCCTCTAACATGAACCCCAGGCATCCAACCCTTTTGTATGCTCAGTGTACATTTATCTATATTTGGATATTAACAAATCAGGGAACAACATTTGCTTGGCCGGTGTTGAACACTATGTTTAAGACCGGTTGGAGTATGGATGCTGATAAATACCCAATCCGACAGATCCGTGCTTCAAGCACGGTAATAGGCACTGGACTTCACCGGACTCAAAATTTTCATGTGACACTGGAAAGGTGTTTAAAGACCAGCCAGCCGGTCTTGATCAACCGTTTAAAGCCGGCCACGCAACGGGCTCTCCAATAGGAATGGGTAAATTGTCTTAGGTATTTATAAATGTCCTTTGAAATTCTAATGTATTTTCTTTTGTCTAGGGTGAGCATCGTTGAACCGGGGCCAGTCAAGACGGAGCTTTCCAAGAAGGTCTTTGGTACACCGTTCGAAGAACAAGCCAAAGATTTTGACCCTGTAGTGCGAGATTTACTCGTCACATGGTCAAAGGACATGGCGTCTGTGTTTCCTTTTGTAACTCATCAAAGCGCCGATGAAATAGCCAAGCTGCACATGGATATCATTCTGAGTGAGAATCCTCACCTGCGCTATCAGACGACAGAAAACTTGACAAAAATGGCGGCCGTGAAGCTTCGCGATCCGACCACGGATTTTCTGCTCGATATGCTAAAGCAAAGCCGTTACGCTTCCCCTACAGAGTAGTGTCATGTAGTAAAGTCGCAAATGAAAGATCTGTTACCAAGCGTATCTTTCTAAAGTTTTTTTTTTTTTACCATCTATTGGAGAGGAAATTATCAAAATGAGCAAAAGGCCACAATAGCCCAATGTGTATGATAGCTTTATTAAAAATGAAAACTATGTCTAAATTGGATGCCAGCGAAAGTTTAAAATCTTTGTGTGATGCCGATTTGCTGTAAATCTTATTGCAGCAATTACACATAGGCGCCACATTGTACACTGGAACATAATGACGTCACGCTTTGTTAACGTGTGCATTCCTGTGGGGGACAGGTTGGAAACCAGAGCCACCTTGCTTCCATGAGAAAGCACACATGAAAACAAAACACTGCGTCCACTACATGTAACATTTGTTTTCACAATTGGAAGTTGTGGTCACGTGATGCCAACTTTCAGCAAACGATTCTCTTCTGCACTGCATGTTTATCTCTTGACATGAATGATCTAAACGTGTTGACATAATGTGGGCCAAACAACCGTGCAAGAGATATGCTTGAATGTCTTGGGTTGGGTTGCCCAACGATTGTCTGTTGGCATGGCAAATGGACTGTCGCTTTCTTTTTTAGTACATGTTGTCATGTTTTTAATGATTATACCCTGTAGCCTTTTCTAGTTTTGTCCCCGTCACTTCAACTTTTTTTTAAGTTTCTGTGTAAGATTTCATAAATATGTGACTCTTGTTGCTCAATGAACAAATTACGTGCTCTACAGACCATTCCGAGCACGCCATCACGCACTGTACACTCACGCCCCCTTCAATGGCGAAAACATTGTGCCATGAGCTACTAATGGTCAGATAATCCGTCACGTGGCAATTGCTTTGTATTGTAGGTTGCGCAAATACTTTCGCCATTGGAGGGGGCCTCCGTAGCGTGTTGGATTCGTCAATTATGATAATTTCTATACTCTTCAGAACTAGATCTAGGTCTGAGAAAAATACCCGCAAAGGCTACAAATGTATTTTTTAGCTCTTCGTTACATGTAATGTTATTTCTTGGGTAACGATTTTTCCCTGCTTGTTGGCGGAAGTGCTTGTTTCATTGTGATTAAAATCAATCAAATACTGATTGCACCTGATTGTTCCAAGCTGGTATTATTTTTGGTATTCCTCAGTTTCGATGTTTGTCAAGCCTTTGACTTTCAACCCTTCCATCCATCAGCGCATGGTTTGGTAGTGTATCATTAGAAATGGCACGCGTGTGGGATACAACAAGTCACCTGTTAAATTGTCATTTTGCTTTGTTAATTCATCGGGCACACCGCCGGCATGTACATCTCACATCAAAATATCGAAATTTATTAAGTATACGTAGGGAATTACCGCACACAACTGTAATTTAATCGGACACTTTTACAGAGCCGCATATACATATTCCATCCGCATACCATGGTCCTTCTTCTTTTTGGAGGTAACTATAGATAATATCTAAAGGCATAAATACAAGTGGCGGATCCATCCACTTATTGGTCCAAGCAGAGGGGGGCTTAGATTTGTTTCCCCAACTTGGAGCCACAAGGAGTGGCTATTTGAGTTGTCTTACTTGCAGATGATGTACGTCCAGGAAGTGAATCTGATGAACTTGATGGTCATGTAAAGGAATTGTGGTTAGTGAAAGTTACGAGACTGTCCTCATCATCGATTTAAAAAAAAAATTAACCCACATACACTCACCAGTATCTCAGCTCCTGCAGCTGTCACCCTAGGCACTGTAAGACAGGAATATGGTTGCCAGGAGTCATAGCTCCCACCGAGTGAAACGTAGCATTGCCAGAGCCAAATCTATCCCCAGAATTTTGACTTTCAAGGAAAGGGCCCCGAGCGCCTTTGTCAAACCCAAGATTCCCTTGGTCATTACCTTCCACTCCAATCTCCCTCCCCTTCATAAAATAACTATACTGACAACCATCATCTTCTCCGAACGTCCGTTCGCCTTGCCCGCGCCATCCCTGACATCTATATATACAGGCACCCTCATAATCTACGAGACTTGCTTGTTCACACCCAGCATTGAGCATTAAGTGCAGTTCCAGATGTGCTAGCAGCTGTTGGTTTGCTTAGTGCAGTAGGCCTATAATATGTCGGGGATCGAGATACAGAACACGCTCAAGAAGTGTCTCCATGATCGATAGATTGTCGTCAACAGCAACAGATTGGACAACACTTGTCGGTCATCACCTAACCATTCCACAGTATATTAGTATATAGAGTATAGAATGCACTTGGCTGTCGCATTTTCCCCTCAATTGTCAATTTGTTTCACATATATACCTAATCCTGTCTAGCCCTATTGGGTTTATCAACACCTTTTGTTCAGTGGCTTAGCAACCGCGGGGATAATGATCCCCCAACTTATTTTCTCTGATAGTGTCCATGATCTGATAGTGTCCATGATCGTCCGCTTCGAACAAGGCCCCCATGGGAAAATGGTATCCAGCCCCCTCCCCCCCCCCTCCCCCGCTTTGTTGACTTTACGGAGGTCGGGTATCGAAAAAAACCCTGATTACCTTTCAGCACTGCACCATACCTTCCTTATATACCACCCTTTTCCAACACTCCTTTTTAAATGTGTTTTTACAAGTTCGTTTCCTTTGATGTTTACCCACACTGGTCTCAGGCGCGGATCCAGAGGGGGGATTTTGGGGTCAAAACCCCCCAGCTCTGTCAAAAAAAAAAAAAAAATCATACAAATTCCTAAAAAATAAGTCGAACCCCCCCCCCCCGTGACACCCCCCCAAAAAAAATTATACTGGTATAATGTCCGCCTGTTCAAAATACGGTACACCATTCTGTAATCTAGTGTTAATAATCGTGGAATTTGAACAGCGCCCCCAATTGAAATATGGTACCAGCCCCCCCCCCCCCCCCCCAGACCCCCCCCCTCTCTGCTCCACTCTCACAGGCCTAGCTCGCTATGTATACTACTGCACAAAACGAACCTAGTTCGATAATAGTTATTGCATAGTCTTTGGCCAGTTATATAACAACAATACACTTTGGCCATATATATTAAAGTTATAAAACAATACAAAGTTAAAGGTACATGTATTAACACAATGTACATTGTCAAGCTCGAGTCAATAACTTTTAATCCTCTGGCTTTGGAAAAATGCTTATCCCATCAGTCAATATTGCAGCGCGTTGAGCAACTTTGTATACACAACGTGCTCATTCCTGCTTAATCGAGTACATGTAAAATTAATACAGGCAAAGTTTACAGTTGAAATCAGAAGCTGCGACTTTGGTCACTGCTGTACGTAAAGATCGGGAAGAAAAAGAAGAGAGTCCTGACAAAGAAAATGTCGCCTCAGACCGTACTCATCACTGGGTGCTCGTCGGGCATCGGTTTAGCCACGGCACTCGTGCTAGCCAAAGACGAGCTTAGCAGATTCAAGGTATGTGCAATATTTCCCCCCAAAAGTGTCTGTCTGACTGTTTTAAAAATATTACTAAAAAACGATGACGTCAATTTTGAAAAGTTTCGGTTGTGTAGATACCTTTGATTGGCATCAACCCCTATGAATTTCATTTTATTTCAGTCACGCATATCATTGCACAACAATTGATCACAACAAAATTGATGGGCTGTGACCAAGTTCCATGTCTTAATTAGTTTCCGTGTTTGTTTTATGTAAGCTGTGTGAAATGCTGCACGTTGTGAAAAAAGGCTCAAGACATGTGGTTTGGGATTGGAATCATTTGCCCTTGAGCATTAAATTGAGGTCTTGCCATGATGACTGATGGCCAGGCAAACGATTCCAATCCCAACTGCTGCCCTTTTCACAATTACATGAAGGATTTTACACAGGTTACTTATTACACCATACTGAAGTTGAATAAGGCAAGTAACTTGGTCACAGTGTCCAATGATATCATATTCTCTGTTCACGTGATTCAAGATGCCGGCCCCCAACGAAAGACAGTGAATTTATTTTAGAGGACAAGCTGGTCGATTTGTGACCAATATTCTATGGGCATTTTACACGGGGTTTCTCTTTCTCTTGCTAACGAAAATGATAGCGACGCGAAGATTTATCTACCTACATCCGATGGATTCTAGTTTTAATTGGGCTTGTTTGAATCATGCTTGCTTACAGGTCGCGTAATTTTTTTCCTAGGAGGGTAAGGGGCAATGTCATGAATAATTCAGTTTTTCCTTTGAATCATTGCAAGACTTAGGTTCTCGTTCTATTTTCCCCTTAATTTAAAATTATCTCAGTGATAAATTTGGAGAAGAAAAATAGCTGATGAAAATGAGCAGCGACGACGTGGATTCGAACCAGGGATCTTTGTATCCATAGCTCATCTCGCTATCCACTAGGCTACTGTGTGGTAGCTCGACGACAACCGTTCTTTAAAATGCTTTAATGTATTGTAACTAGTTGAGTAACTTACAACAATGCTGTTGATGTCATTGTCCGTTATCATGGATAAACATGAATTATTCATGACATTGCCCCTAACCCTCCTAGGAATAAAAATTACGCACCCCGCTCCTTCCGCTCACCTCTCGAAAAAATAATAAATGTCGCAGATGACAAGCAGTGGGGCTCGAACCACCAACCCCGCGATTGAATATCTGAGAATGGCACTCTACCGACTGAGCTACCGGCTCGCACTTGAATTGAAATATAATATATATATGAACCTCAGGTTGCAAAGGGTGGTGACGTCAAAAGTCACGTGTCGTCATCAATCCCTCACCCCGCCCCCTCCGTTCTGTCGATTTTTTTTTTATAAATTTCGCAGATGACAACCTGGGGCTCGAACCACCAACCCCGCGATTGAATATCTGAGAATGGCACTCTACCGACTGAGCTACAGGCTCGCACTTGAAACGTATTGAAATATAATATACATGAACCGCTCACGTGTCGAAAAAAATAATAAATGTCGCAGATGACAACCTAGGGCTCGAACCACCAACCCCGCGATTGAATATCTGAGAATGGCACTCTACCGACTGAGCTACCGGCTCGCACTTGAAACGTATTGAAATATAATATATATGAACCTCAGGTTGCAAAGGGTGGTGACGTCAAAAGTCACCTGTCGTCATCAATCCCTCACACCGCTCCCTCGCTTACCTGTCAAAAAAAATTAATAAATGTCGCAGATGACAAGTTGGGGCTCGAACCACAAACCCCGCGATTGAATATCTGAGAACGGCACTCTACCGACTGAGCAACCGGCTCGCACTTGAAACGTGTTGAAAAATAATATATATGAACCTCAGGTTGCAAAGGGTGGTGACGTCAAAAGTCACGTGTCGTCATCAATCCCTCACCCCGCTCCCTCCACTCACGTATCGAAAAAAATAATAATTGTCGCAGATGACAACCTGGGGCTCGAACCACCAAACCCGCGATTGAATATCTGAGAACGGCACTCTACCGACTGAGCAACCGGCTCGGACTTCCAATGTGTTGAAATATAATATATATGAACCTCAGGTTGCAAAGGGTGGTGACGTCAAAAGTCACGTGTCGTCATCAATCCCTCACCCCGCTCCCTCCGCTCACGCGATTTAATATCTGAGAACGGCACTCTACCGACTGAGCAACCGGCTCGCACTTGAAACGTGTTGAAAAATAATATATATGAACCTCAGGTTGCAAAGGGTGGTGACGTCAAAAGTCACGTGTCGTCATCAATCCCTCACCCCGCTCCCTCCACTCACGTATCGAAAAAAATAATAATTGTCGCAGATGACAACCTGGGGCTCGAACCACCAAACCCGCGATTGAATATCTGAGAACGGCACTCTACCGACTGAGCAACCGGCTCGGACTTCCAATGTGTTGAAATATAATATATATGAACCTCAGGTTGCAAAGGGTGGTGACGTCAAAAGTCACGTGTCGTCATCAATCCCTCACCCCGCTCCCTCCGCTCACGCGATTTAATATCTGAGAACGGCACTCTACCGACTGAGCAACCGGCTCGGACTTCCAATGTGTTGAAATATAATATATATGAACCTCAGGTTGGAAAGGGTGGTGACGTCAAAAGTCACGTGTCGTCATCAATCCCTCACCCCGCTCCCTCCACTCACGTATCGAAAAAAATAATAA